AATATGGATCAAATTTTTGTGAAATTATGTGGTGACGATAGGAAATTTTGTGATTATCACAAAATTTTGTGGCATTTATGATATTTTGCGAAACGCCATAAATCATCGTCCCTGGTTGTGACCCTCACACGATATAATAAAAAAGATGTCTTCTGCAAAGTATTGGGAACGAAATTTTATAGCGATGTTATTTTTTGATCAGTCTGAAGATTGGAGCCTCTTGAACTTCCTAAAGTACCTTGACTCGGTGAAGAGTTTGGACGACCGTTCTGAAGCACATCATAAGTATAAACTTCTTTTGAATAGTATCAAGGATAATAAAGAAATGTCGGAAGAAAAAAGAAAAAAGGCTGAACAGGCACTGTTAACTTACGAATCAACAGTTAAGTATTTTTTTTATTATTATTCAATATTATCGTCTAGAGGAAGGAGGAAGGAGTGTCAGTTGAGGCTGAAGAACCCTGCCATCGAGGTGGTAGGCACTCGTGCTAGGTTGAGGCTGAAAAACCTCCGTCGAGGCGGAAGGTGCACCTCTGGATTGTTTTTAGGCGCTTAAAAATAAGTACTAGACAACCTCAATAAATTCCAACAACTAACTATTTCTTTGGCTTTTAGAATGAATCCCGTTCTTTCGAGATTGGAGAATTTTGGCTTCGAATATCTCTTAATGAAAAGGCTACGAAAAGTACCGAAAGAATTATCGACCAAATTAATATAGTACAAGATGAAGCGAGCGATGTTTTAGTTCTCAGCAAGAGAGACAATCTTAGGAGACTACGATCAGGTATTTTATTGTTAAATTTATAGCTCCTCATTATTTTTCTTTGTTGGCTCAGTTGATTTTTTTACATTAAATAGATTTTGAAATTGGAGACAATACCGAGGGAGATGGTGGACTGGGAAAGGTATATAATAAATCAAGTAAACAACGCGTTACTCAAAAATAATGACCAAACTTATTATGTTATAGAATGAACCTGAACGGCCATGTACACCGGAAGATAAGGTATTTCCCATCATTTCTTTAATGTACCGCCCATTCTTCTCATCTTTCGCATGTGTACACAGATCCGTACTGTTATATTCGATGAACATGTGGAGGTAAATATTATTAGTATTTTTAAGTTAGGAGGCCATTCATACTTTCTATATACATATTTTCTGTATAGGACTAATTCTAATATTATAATTTGCTAAATATTTTTTTTGTAATACGGTACAGACCAAAACGTTTAATAACTCATTTGACGAATTTGTTGACTCCGGCGAGACTTCTGGCGAGACTACAGAAATTGCCGTGAGTATTTAAAAAAATCGAGGTTATATTTCTTCTATTGTGCATAATATATTTACTTTCTCAACATCTAGGACAATGTCAGCGATAGTGAAGAACCTGATCAAAATGATGAAGAAAGTTCTGATGATAATCATGATGATGAGGATTTCAGTGGGCGCAATAATAGAATGAAGATGGAGGAAATTAAACGAAACAAGCTAGCGATTGCAAAAAAACTTCAGGTAGTAGTATTAATAATTATTTGTATTGTTTGTATTCTAACTATTCTAATAATACTTTGCAATAAAAGGACGAAATGAAGGCTGAATATTCAGCAAAGTATCGCAAATTGCGTCCGGAGAACAAATGGAAATTGCCTTCCGGAAAGTTCGTTGAAGATATTCTATATGAATATACAATAAATTTGGATCATGAAAGGTAGACATTTAAAGCATACATAGGGTCTGTTATAATAGCAATCTAACTATAAAGTTATGCTTTTAGCTATCTACACAGTTTTATATTCGATACAAGTGATGAAACGATCATGAATCTTTTCAGTGAACTTGATCAGCAACACATCGGAGAATGTAATATTCCTTCAGAACCGCAAGTAGATGACACTTTGCTAGATTTTCTTTTACTCTACCGACAAGTGAGTATAATCAATTACTACCGCTAATGTATAGCAATGTATAAACCATTATGTTATATTTGTGTCCTTTAGAATAATCCTCAAGATCTGCGTAGGGTAATCAACATCGATATAGATTTATCTTCTTATAACCCACGGAGAAATTATGACTATTACTACGTTCATGAAGTTTTTTCTCATTTGTGAGTATTAATAAAATTTTCGTGCATCTTCAATATTATTTGAACTAAAACTTGTCATTACTAGACTTTTACGGTATGAACTTAGGCCTCAGGACTTTTCTAATCCTCACTTAGAGGGTTGGTTCAAGACGAACCTCTGGAGCATAATAGTAGATAATTGTTTTTTAGATGTATTAGATGCAGAATTTATTCGGTTAGTGTACATTATATATAAATGTGCGTAAGCAAGCATATTGAATATAAAGAAAATTTTTTTAATGAAATTCCTTTTAGTGGTGAAGGTTGCTCTCGTGTCTCAGGGCAACGAAAAAACAAGGGCAGAAAAGATTCAAAAGTTCGAAAGCTTGTCGGGCGTAAGTGTGATGGAATCTTACGAAAGTTGGGGACACCAGAAGAGTTTGCGATAAGTGAAGAGGGAAAATTATGGGATGGGGAAGACGGAACCAAATTCTTGGCCGATGGATTTAAGAAATTACCAAAAACTATGCGAGACACACTAGTTCAAAAAGTCAAGAAGTTTAACCTCAGTTTTGTAATTTCTCATCAATTAGAAGTTGTGGGTTTCCTTCATTCTGGTAAGATACCTGGTATTCTCCTATACATTATTTCGTCTTTTATTAAACATTCTATTTATTATTCGTCATTCTGCTAGGTCAATATCTCCAGCAATTAGTTATGGATATACCATGTGGGTCAATTTGCCGATTACGTAGGTTTCCTACTACGAAGATTCCAGCAAGCTTGGACGAAGTTGATGAATTAATAGCAATGGTGAATGACATGCTTGTTGCAAAAGTATGTTCCATTAACTGCATTCAATTGATCCATTTTCAATTAGTAACTGATTTAATTTTATTTAGTTACGAATTAAAAGATGTTTAGAATCTGTGAATAATTATTATTCTAGCAATATAGAACTGAAGAGACGCTTGAAGAACAGAAAAGAAATCAAAGCAAGAGGAGATAACTTTCCAGATACACAGAAGACTCCAAAAGCGAAAAGGATTAAGTTAGTAAAAGAGATCGAAATCAGAATTTAGGTGTAAACTATGCCATATACAGTAGTTACGTGGTAAAAGTTTTGTTTGCCATATAAAATAATGTAAATCTGGATAAAAGTGATCAGTATTACAATTTGTGTGGGCTTGGTTCTTGTAGTTTAACACTTTAAAATTAATAAAAAAAAACTTCCCACATCGGTTTTTAACTAACTTTGGCAAAAGTGATCAGTGTTACAAATTGTAACGCGCACGTGATTTGATCGGAACTGTGTCGCAATATATTGACGCATAAATTTATCCTCACTTGATCTATCGATCTGCGGAAGATAACCTATCCTAATTATAGTATAGCCTGATAGATTATCTTTTTCGAATGAATATGAGAAAAAAGCACATGCAAACTTTTTTTTTGGCGCAAAACTATATCTAATAAAATGTTTCATTCTGACTATAAACACATTATCGATAGATTTTCTTCGTATAGCTCAGAAAAAAATATTCTATCATTTGATTGTGAAATAATTTTTCTTGATTTAACTCCCGAAAAGTATCTTTGAGGGGAAATCTATTTCTGAGAAGTCTAAGCGAATTGAATCATACTTGAGGCATACATTAGAGATTTATAATAATTCATTAAATAGAAAACGACAGAACAAATCTATGGATCAGAAGAAATTACGCCCTCGAAGCTGGCCAGAATGCAATGTATCCCCAGCATTACCGGTTATTTATGTTTCAGATAGTGATACTCAGACTAATAATATTATTCATTATCATGAGGAAAAGAATAATCGCCAGGTGGTAAATGAGCTTAAAGTATTGATCCAACATCTACTCGATTATAATAGATGAACTTTTGAGAAATTTATGCTAGATATAGAAAAGGAATATAGAGAGCGTGTTATTGCAAATAAAAGATTACGATGTAAAGTTGAGGATCTGAAAATGCAAGTGCAAGAGACAAAAAAAGAACTGGCATCTATGAAGTTGGATTCTTACTAAGAAGTGGCATATTCCAGCTGAGGCGTATCCTGTGTGGATGTTCGCGGGGTACAGTTAAATCAAAAATAATGAATTTTTTCTCATATAATGCCTTATCAATAATCTTAATCACACTACGCCAGTCATTAGCATATTAACGCACAATTCTGACTAGTTTGTTCGTAATGCACGACCCGTTAAATAGGCAGATATGTGAGAGGTTTTTTCGTATTATTTTTGGACAGTCAAAGTAACTCTGGAATATATATATCAAACTGACATTGTAATGGCGCCCTTCAATGAAATAAGGAATAATTTTCTCATGCACTTCCTTTGGATCAGCGCATAGATCTTCAAATATAGCTAACGTACCTCTGCCCGGAGAAAATGAATCTATCTTGGGAATTTTATCAGGCTTCAAAGCTCAGAATGAAATATTTTCACGATATGGTTTTGGACTATTAGCAATTTTCTGATATTCTGATTTAAGGAACATATATTTTTTCTCATTAAGATTGTGACCGATGAGTAGCAAATCATCACACTTGATATAGTGTGTCCCTTCTTTCTTCCCATTAAACATTTGATAAGACTTAGTTTTGAGCGTAAGATTAAGAACCTCATTAGTTTTTCCCGTATTAGTACGGCCAAAGATTCCAAGCGTGAAAGGCCATTGAGGAACACTCAAGTGTCCATTATATTTTTTGGCATCTTTAATCTCATCAATATGGTATACAAGCCTTTCAACTGGCTCAAGTTTCTTTATTTTCATATTGAATTATTATTAATGATATTCTAAAATAATCTTGCAAATTTGTAGGACCGCGCAGTCTCGAAAAAATGCCAAGAAAATAATTCTATCTGACCTAACTGGAAGAATTATTCAAGAACCCTTTCTCGATTAGTGTATGTCTAATATACGGATATAAATCCGCTATATGAGGTACTTCAATAAGGCATATATCTTGTTTTTTGCATATATCTCGCTTCTTCTGATCACGCATTTTCTGTTCATCCAAATCTATCTGGCCTCTTCTATGAAATATTGAATTAAGACTATAGTGTTACTTGCCATGAAATTTGAATCCTAGTCACAACTCTTTGTTATATCCATCAAGTTGCATCCCATCCAAAAAATTCGGCCTACATGATGGGAATTTCTTCTCTAACAGATCCTCAAAAATATATCGGCATTAGCGTTCACCGCTTCTATAGTGGTAAAGAGAACACCATTCGAATTTTTTCATGATATACTTTAATGGATATTCCCATTGATGCACACCATTTTCACAAGACCAAAGATATACATCATGACCATTTATTTGCCCAGTCTTTCTAAGACATTGACCACCACGCTTCATGGCATAATCCTCAGCCTGAACTGACTTACTAGAAGCATGAACATAATGGACGAATCCAGTAGGGTGGTATTTTCGCATAAATTCATCTGGCGGATACTCGATTTTATCAGACTCTTCAATTTCTTGAAGTTCCTCATATTTAAAGGGCCTTTTGGGGTTTCGTCCTATCAGATGAGCAGTTGATTCAATGGGTTCATCCTCAAGATAATATAAGACTGGCTGTGGTGGATTTTTCCCAATAACAACCCTTTTTATCTTAAAGACACGCAAGCTCCAATATGGATCGGTTGCTCTACGTCTATGATCTCCTTCCAACTCGCCTGCTTTTAACAGATATCTAACCGC